GTAGTCTAGTTGAATATCGTGCTAGTAAATTAGCAATCATGTCCTTTAAATGACAAAGGGACTCACGAAAGAGAAGAAAACGATTACTTACTGAAACCAATGCAGTGATGAATGAAATCGTCTGCATGTTGAGCTTTTGAGCTTGACAGTGTGAGAATATCCCTTATGAATATAAAAGTATGACAATATTTGGGTTTCTTATCCTATTTTATTTTACCTTTTCGGCACGGCAGACATTGCCACCTTACATTGGATATAAGGAAACAGAATGATTTTATTTTTAATTTTCATATAATCCAGACTCATATGATATTTTTCTCATTGACTTTTCTACTGATAATGCAGTAGTGGATCAAAGAATGATTGCACTTAGTGTACAAAAAGTGGCCCCCGGTAAATTGCGCAAAAGTAAAGTATAGAAAGTAGCCTAATGAGATTAATAAAGCAATTCTTCTGGGTCTAAATTGCAACTTTGCAAAATTACAGGAATTAAAAGTAAGTAAAAAAAAAGAGCGAGGTTGTATTTTGTAAGGGGGGTCACAGCAATTCATGAATTTCCATTGTTATGCAAAGTTATTCCGATCTTTAAAGCTGGAATACATGGTGAGCGCATTCTTGCCCAACTTTCTAAAAAGGACAGAAGGTGTAGCACTATTGGAAATACAACATATTTAAGGGAGAACTTTGGGCAAGCCTGCGCTCGGGGTAAACATTTTGAAAAAAGGGTACAAAACGCCGCTCGTTTTCTTCGCTATTTACGGGTATTTACACGTCATTGACCTCATTGTGACCTGTTTAGTATTCCAATATATCACGTGATTTGTAGACTCAGGTAACTTTGTGAATACAAAAAAATCAATAAATCACGTGGCTGTAGCTCCGATTAATAACATTGCATCGACCAACTTGTACCGTTACATGTACAAATTCAATTAATCAACATCGAATTCTTTTTCGGCTAAGTATTTTTTAGAGGGTAATGGAATATAAAATATATTTTATTTATTTTAGTCCTTGGATTTAGGGGGCACGTTTGGAGGGTCAAAGAATTTAAAAGAGATTTAGTCCCAATCGTCGCAATACCATCATTCCTCAAAGTCTTTTTACTGTAAAAATATATGCACACATGATATAGAAGTACGTAGATGGTTTAACACTGGAATGCTTTCTGGGACCCCCCCCCCCCCCCCCAAAAAAAAAAAACAACAAGCAAACAAAAAAACCAATCACATATACAATTAATAAAATTATTTTAATAATAACATATCATCACACGCAGCATCACAACAACAAAAAAATTATGTACACCATTAAAAGTACTATAAGATAGAAATTTAATATATTTGATACGGCACTAATCTTTTAGAAAATACAGTCGCAGCTGCTGTTACGGCCACCCTTAATCAGCGGCCACTCCTTATGAGCGGCCAGTTTCAATCCTGCCCGTTCATATTTTCACTATATTTTAACTGATTTAAGCGGCCATCTGTCTATCGCGGCCAGTGGCCAGTGCTTTTAGGTCGCGTGCGGTCAACATGCCTGTTTTCAGCGGCCATTTTGTCTGTTTTGTCACATGACTTCCGTCTGACACGTGACCTCACATCCTCGAGAAGCCAAACATGAACAGCTGATAATGAGTAATTAGCGATAATTGCGAGTGTAATTTGAATTCTGTCAGGATTTAATGATTTAATTAATATGATTAAATTATTTATTGTTTACATTTTTTTTTTGTTCTTTATTTACGAAAGTAAGTTGATGAACAGCTGTTGAATATGTTCATGATATAAACTCAATATATAATAAAATTTTACAATTTCGTCTGAGGTTATCAAGTCAAGTGGTCAGTCCCGAGCTATAACCCTATATAATACATATCTAGAAAAACTAAAAAGCTTTGCACAGCATCAGGGAAATGCTAGTTGTATTTTGTTAGAACATTTCATGATTTTGTGTGATGTAAATTCTATTCCTATTTAGCTGTTAAAATTAAAATTACCAACACAAAACAACAACAACAATAAAAACAAATATAATAATTGTGACTTAAAACTTCCTAATTTTTAGAATATGTTGAAATTGTGGATTTTGATACGTTTGAGAATAAATATACAACCATGGTCGCAATTTTTTATTCCTTGGTTTGAAACCTGGAATAAGAGGCCACCTGTCTTATGTGGCCAATTTGTCGTTCTCCCACAAGTGGCCTCTTAAAACAGGTTTGACTGTACAAAAGAAAGAAGTTTTTTTCTTTAATCAGCTGTTAATGGGATTTTATTCCGTTTATATTTAATTTTCACATAGACACGACTAAAATTGAGGGGGGAATCTGGATTTAGGAAGGGAGTACATGTACATCCCCGTAGAAGATCCCCCAGCGACCCCCCCCCCAAAAAAAATCAAACAACAAAAAATGTCTTAAAGCTTGAGAAGTTCTTTGTGTTTAATTTTCTGTATATTTTGTAGCCATTATAACTGGCTATTTATAAATGTTTTCAATCGATCGATAAAATGCCCCGCCTACTCCGAATATTAATGTGACACAATTAAAACCCAACTCGGACAAGCGCAACATTCCGGAATTAACGTCCATTAGAGGGCTTTTTTAATTACCTTAAATAAAACTAAAGCGCCGTTTTCAATGAAAATTTTTGCAAGTAATGTACCACACTGATAACAAAATATCGGTTAGGTGTAAATTTATTAAGATTTGAGTTAATTAGATAAAGTTAGAGGGGTCCTTAAAAGGGGCCACGGCACTATGCTTAAGTGGAAAAAAACACCCCCTCGTTTTTAAAAATTGAAAGTAATGTAAAAGTTATATGGTAATGGTATGAGTTGAAATTGTAATTAATCGCAATTAGCATCGTATTGGAAAAGTTGAGACAGAGATATAAATAGTAGGCTCAAAAGAAAGGAAGTGATTTTGACAAGCCGAAAAAGGGGGAGGGGCTATCATATTTGCAACAAAAAGTAAGGGATGGATTGTCCACTTCAACAAGAAACAGCTGACGGCTTTTGTGAATTTGAAGTTTTAGAATTCAAGAAATTTAAAATTAAAGATAGAAAAGGCCAATCCATTCCCGACTACATGTAAAACATTTGTGCAAAATAAATCAAAATAGAAGCAACGGTCCGGAATTTGACATGTACACAGGGTGTTTAGGTCACATTATTAATATGTATTGGAGGCGTGGCTATCGATCAGCGTCATTGTCGACATCTCTCTCTCTCTCTAGAATTCGAATATGTGTATGTTATATAACAGCGTTGTTAATATAATTTTTTTTAATGTGAGGATACACAAAATTAATTTGCTACATTCTGAAAATGGCAATCAAACATGCTCCAAGACGTGATTTAGATCAAGATTAGGTTGAAAAATACAATGATTTATATCTTAAAAAGAAATAAACACGAAACTTTCATTTACGGGATATTTTCTGGGTATATAGGTCCACCAATTCTTAACTAGTCTTCGTAGTGACTTTCACTAGTAATTGTTTTCTTCATTGAAAAGGGGCTACGAGATTCACTAATACAACCACTAATTCTGAAAGTAAATTAAATATTATCAAAGAGAATCATACTAAAGTTGGCACTTCCAGATACTGTCTTAAATGAAAAATGACATGTGATGTTTCTTTCCGAACTTTGCCTGATGTTTTTCATAGTTTTTTTTAAACACGTTTAACATATCTACTTCATATCACAATTAGCTATTGCCAGGACGTTGATAGAATTATATCCTTTTCTGCAGACGTACAAATGTTCATCTCTTGTAGGTTCCGTGAAGGTATGCGAGTCCCGTAGATGGCGCCAAGGAGTCTGGACATATGGGAAACCAGCGATTGCATGGAAACCAACCTTCGTCCTTGTTGTCTCGGCATCACTAGTCGGAAACTTTATGTTGTTCATTGTCCGACACAGAATATTGATAACCTCGTCGATAGACCTAATCATTTTTTAATGTATAAATTTATCATGAGGGCATATTTAATAGTTTGCCCTCTCTCGACCCACGGACGAAAAAAATGGACCGACTTAAATTTTCTAAACATTCCCACTCCCAGGAAACTATTCTTTTGTTTCATTACAATTTTCTTTTCATCCCTTCAACAGCTATATTTCAATTTTATCTTCGCTTCTATCTTTATCTATCTTTCTCTACCCTTATTCATCATGAGTTAAGAGTGGACAATTTAACTTTTTTTTTAAAGGCTTATTGAAATTTGGATTAAACCATCATAAAAATTAATTTTATCATCCTTGTATTTAAATACCTGCAAACAGATGCCTTGGATATTCCCAGAGTGTCTCCAATCACTCTCTGCTCGGGAGTCAGAAGCAAGAAAGGTGACGTAAAGTTACGTCGTAGTGTACGACACAACGTGAATTAACACGCTTTCGTGAAACGCCGAAATTTAGCTACGCACTACTTACGTCGCACTTAAGGTAAAGATCCATACCACGTAAAATAACGTTATATGACGTTATTCTCGTTTGTGACGTTATTACGTCAAACGGGCCCGACGCTTATTCTACAAAAAATGCCTGACGTCAATTTCACTTACCGTAAAAAAAAAGGTATATTAATTTCCAAATAAAAGGCATAAAATATGCAATGTTCAGTTATGTCCGGGATGCATGATCGAAGGGGAGTTTACATTTAGATGATTCGTCAAACCGAAAGTACAACAAAGATGGACAAACACCACCAAATGTTTTCCCATAGACTTCCATACAAACTTTAGCCCCTCTCACTGATACATGTATTGAATTTCGGGCAAATGACCTTTTTGTCGTGAAAGTTCGAGATATTGGAAAACAAAAAATGCCAGAAAAAATATACCGTGCCGTTGCACTTTTACTTTCAATTTCCATTTGTTTACAACTAGGTGCGTTTGACACCAAATGAAAATCTCTAACCAAAGGGCATTCCTCCCTTCAAATTTTTACCTGTAACTCCTATATACCTCAAAGAAACCCAAGTCTTGATATGAGATTTTTATCAACTTTATTTCACTTGTCAAATACATAACAAGTCTTTTCTCTTATTGACCAATCACGCGCCAGCTAGCATTTTCTCCTCCGCACAACTTTGGGTGTCCAAAATGTCTGCGCCCATGTATTTGTTTATGTAGGGGTTTTTCCTATAGAGTAAAAGAAACATTTATAAAAAGTGGTCAATTTAGTAAATTTAGAACACATATCCATTGCTTCTCTCACCTCTTGAATATTGGGACTGACAGTCTTAGCTTAAGTACACCATTGGCTGTTACATTTCACACCCCAGTCAATCAGACCAACATCTGTGAAACAGAAAAGATGTCTATAAATTGAAGCATTTTTCTATTTTTCTTTCAAACTTTTCAAATAAAATGATTAATCTAGCATATGTTTTGCTTGTTTTTCTTATTATCTCTAATAATTTCTCAAGGTAGATCATGTTAATCATTCAGGGTAGCAGGTACCCGTTATTAATGAAAAATGAAGAAAATCAGCAGGTTTTTGTAAGAAAAAGCTGGGTTATGGAAAGAGTGAAAACTAATGTAGATAAAATAATCAATGGAAAGAAAGAGAATTATATCTAGTTCAAATGTACATAAGATTAAAACAAATTCTATCAGCAGTGGGTTGCTGGCATCAGAGAATCAAATACATCCCCACTGAAAATTTTGTAATTTTGAAGGGGGGTGACCTACATTTTAGCCAATTTTCATGAACATTTCATGTAATTGATGTTAAATATGTATATTCTCATAAAAGGCAAATATATTTATTTGCATATCATTTCTTATTATTGACATAATTAATAAATTGATTAAATGCCAAGGGCAGATAAATCATATTGTCTGACTGAATACAGTGCTCAATTGTACGCAAAATGTTTAAATAACTGCAGTTCTGAGGAAATTTATTTTCTGATAATCTATAAAAAGTTCTAAATAACTTAAATATTAAGAGATTAACTAGATTTTCTAAGAAAATCATACCTTGGAACTCTTAATGAAAGCAGAGGGATCATCCCCAGAGTGTCCATGGGTTGTTCATTGTAATAGGGTACGGTTCATTAATCTCTTCCTTCTTGATAATGCATTGCTGAAATACATTTTATTTTATTAAAACATACTGATAAATGCATCTAGTAGCTTATATAATAATTTTTTATTATTTACACCATCTTTTGAATTTTTTTTAAGCATTTGTGATGTAATTCCTTTAAAATAATCATGTTAAAATAGAATTTACTCAGATAATTATTTTAAAAAATATCAAAGAAATTGAAAAAAAATAACTGCAGATAAACATGACTCTTGTTATTCAAATAAACCACATTTAAACAAAATTCCTTCATTTTTCAGCATGATTAGAGCACAAAATTACCCCCCCCCTTTCAGCAGAATATCAAGATGGATATGGCAAGGAGGAGGGATATTCAGACACCTTTTTCATATTTTTTTCAGTTATAATTTTGCATATTTATTGCATTTTCAATGTATTTTCTGCAAAAATATATTGTACAGTAATTTCAATGAAATTTCCTACAAGTAATCCCTAAGTTTCACCAAAAGTATAACTTTTATTTCAAGCCAGCACTGATTACATGACTAAAACTGGCTTTTCTGCTGGATAATGCCCCTTATGTAAAAACAAAGTAACCTAATTAGTTAACAGCAGTCAAATTTTGTTATAAATTATTCAATCAAGGAAGATCTCGTACAAAGACTTTGACAATCGGGTCGTTTTTTGTCTCTGTAAGTTGAAGAAATACAGAGTAGCAAAAAATGGTGCTCTTGTCGAAAGTCATTATCGTTTGCTTATATATTTGAACATAGGCCTAGTACATAACCATTTTCGAACCAGAATTCAGGTAACTAACTACTTTGCTTCAATATTCAGATTTTTAAATGTCGTTTTCCTCTTCTCGATTGTTTTGAATCAAAATATTGTTCACGAAAATCGTGTCATCTATGGTATATACAGTATGTATAATAAATGAAAAAAATACGCAGAACAGACCCAAGGGTCTACATCTGATGGGGAGGGGGGAAGGGGATATTTCTGTCTTCAAACACCCATGAATAGTATAGCAATAGATATCAGTAGCTAATAAGATAATGTGAATCCCCAGTGTACTATTCTAAATCACAATTTTATGCATTATCATGATTGCTGTAATGGTGGTTGGACTTAAACCCACAAATCGCAATATGGCAGTAACAAAGAAGGGAATACATGTATCAGATGATAAATAGGAATGCCTATGAGATCATAGAGGGTGATATAAAAAGGAATAAGGAAAACGATAAAATTTCAATCAGACAAAATCAACTCTGTTTGTTAAGCCGAGTGCTTACAATGTTATAATTATATAATTAGGTTGTTCGTGCATGGTTTAATCATGCATTAATCATTAAAAACAATGATAACCAGTTTCAATTTTGATTTTATGGATTTATGTCAAGATTGTGACTTTTTATTTGAATGGAAAATTATTAATAATGTCTCATAAAAGTTATGACGGTGTTTTGTTTCTCAAAAAAAATCATTCTAATGCAATTGTTTTGTTAAACACTTTTTGATTGGCTAATTCACTGATGTTTGAAGCAGTAAAACGAGCATTAACGAGCGTGAAAGCTTTTTCATTGTGACGTCATAATAGAGCGACGCAAAACACAATGCTCCGTGACGTATTTCATGTAACAAAATTCATCAAAATAAGACGTTAATAACAAACAAAATGCATGGATTGCATTAGAATGGGAATCACACATGATATAAGGTCTTCAAAATACCACAAAATCTACTATTTCAAACACATTGCTGTATACTACATACAAACTTACTATTAATGCTGATATATAACGGTCGCGGAAAAATGACGCAGTTTGTACACAGTGAAAGGCTGATCAAGTTACCGGCTCCGCTTACGCGTCACCGGTAAAACTCAGTTTGCGACCGTTAAATCAGCATTAACGGTCGCAAATACCAAAGTAGAAGATAGTTATTCCCTAATTTTTTAAACATACAGAATTTATTTATTGCATAATTACCTTGACCCTTTGATCACAAAATCAATAAGGGTCTCTTTCGAGCCACAGAGAGTTGCTGTGTAAAATTTCAATGCAAAAGCTCAAAGCTTCTCAAAAGTGTTACAGACAAACAGAAAGACACACGGAGAGATGGATAGACCTAATTTAGTTTCCCCACTTTCAGTGAAAGTAGAGACAATTATATCAGTTTTTTTGTTGATGTTAAACTTGGTTTATCAAGATAAATGTAAAAAAAAAATAGCATAACTTTCCCAGTGTTTATTCAGATCTTTCTTTACCTACATAAATAGATTTTGATATCATATTGAGCTTTATAATATATACACCTACATATTTATCTATTTTGACATCAATATGCACTGTGCAACACAGTTCCAAAATGCCAGATAATGTATTGGACCAGCATGCAAAAATCATATCAAACCATTTACCCCCAAATAACTGAACTTATGAGCTAGGACTTTATGCTGTATCATGTAGCATGATAAAAATTAGTTGAGAAAAAAATCATTTTTTTGATTTGGTTAGAATACAGTTTTGAAGAAGTATAGTTGAACTGCCTAACTTCCAGTACAAGTCAAATTGAACCATCTTAGATGTCTTGATTAAATGTTTTTATTTTAGGCACAGAGCAACAGAAAAAGTTTTTTTTTAAACTAGACCATGTCCATAATGCATGTATCATTTCTCAGATACTTTTAATATACAAGTATACATACAAATTAAATGTTCAGTACTTATAATGATGTTCATCAGCTCAGACAATTACAGATTCGAGAATCTGTGTCAATACTAATGGAACAAATGCTCACTGGATCCATATCAAAATATCACTTTCACATAGAACATTCTATTTACTCAGGGAGTCGTTGACTTTTAAAGCATCATACCAGTGACTTTTCATACCAATTTTGCATAGTTCAGTTTTTCCAAGGAGGGGTCCAAGGTCACTTTAAGTATGATTCACTGTTATCTTTGGACTTTCAGTAAGGCAGGATATTCTTGTTATATAATAAGCCCCTAAAATTTACACAGCTTTCATTCATTGTTGCAATATACGTGGCCGGAATAGAAATTCGGGCAAATGTCAAAGAGTGTAGCCAATTTCCAATAACAGGATTACATATAAGAAAGAAGTAAGGGATTAAGTTGTCTAATGATTGTCAACAACGATTAAAAGTACCTGATGTTATTAATTTTTTAACCAATGAAAATCTATTTGCCATTTGAAAGAATACTACGTCTTACTAAAAGTCCAAGGATGACAGAGAATTGTACTGCTTGGTTTAGTATGTACATTTCATAACTCTGTAATGTCCATGGGAACACACACACTAGATCCGCCATGAAATATTCAGTCAAGAAGCATCCTATAGAAATTATACTATGGAAACAAGAAAAAAATTATAAGTGCTGAAAAAAAATATTGTTTAAGGGTGATTTTGACAGGTCAGTCAGAGTAAATAAAACAAATCTTTTTTTTATTGTTTGACTTACTTAACCCTTTTAATGATGAACTCTTTCAGATATTAATTAATCTAACCTTATTCATTTTAAAGATACATAAATTACTCAAACATGTCACCATTGAACGTTTTCATATTTTACCAATTAAATGACATAGTTTTAGTAATGATGCTCTCATTGCCATTCTAGTCATCAACTATAGAGCTTGGTGTTAAGAATTTATTAAACGAATTTGAGTTATGTACGGAAAACCTCGATCATTCAGTGTCCCTAGCTTAAGAATGATATCTCTGCCTCCCAAGGACACGATCGCCTATAAGCATAGTATTTTAAAACAACAAACATTACAAAGTGGAAACACTGAATATACATAGATTTTATCTATTTGTATATGGATAAAAACATGATAAACAATGTTGCACCTTACTTTGACAGGCCCGAGCATTCCTGTGATAAGAAACCAGACGTTAAAAAGATGTGGCAAACAAACCACTTATTTGTATCTATGAATAGCGAAAAAAGTATTACATAGACACAAAAAGTAGTAAAACGTGCCACTTCTCTAAATTTTAATCACATAAATCGCATCCAAACGACCAATGTTAAAACTGAAAGTATTTTCTTCTTTCACTTCCGTCATAACGTCACACATGCGCATGAACGGTTTATAGAATATTCGGAAGATTGAACCCGATTACTGTTATGCTTGTGAATCGTGAAAACGAATTTTTGGCCGTCTATGCATTAAATATTCAACTTATGGCTTAAACCATACTTATTACTGTTTTATTATCGATAGTTTTAAATATTTAAAGCGATTTTTACATTCAAATCCTGAAAGTATAGATGTTAAACAGATTTTTCAAATAATCATTTTTCAGCAAATTTGGTTTAAAAATGTGAAATTTTCTTGTTTGATACCCGCTGCCCCACTTAATTTTTATGCCATATAAGGGAGAGACTGATGGAAAATAACGTGTTAATTTTTTTTAAAAAAGTCTGTAGTTTAAATATCAAACAGCAATTTATTTTTTACTAGTAATGAAGTTTATAATTTTGAGCTAAATATGTTTTAACCGCCCTAGAAAGTAATATTAATTGGATCAGCAGATTAAAAAAAATAATTGAACCGTTAAACAAGCATATCTTCTCTATAAGTCATATGTTAAAAATTTTCTTTTGCTTTAAATTTTAGAAAGCTAGCATAAATATCTTAATTACTGCATTTCCGTAATTTCATGAGACTATGTCTATTTTTAGTAACAATTTTTTCAAAAGGAGGCCCGGTTGACCCCAAAATTTACACAAATCTTGAAAGGAAAAATACTTAGTTAAAATTCTGAGAAGTTTCAAAAAAATTTGTAGGTCCGTTATTTTTTTAGCATGGTATGGATCTTTACCTTAATAAACATTTAACAGGTGTTTTAAATTTTGGCTTAAGTCTAAGTCTGTTTCATGATCTTGGGCCAGTCGTCTTTGTAAAAATGTATTTAAACATGGAAACAAAATTATCTAAAATGTGAG